GGGGGGGGGGGAGGGAGGAGGAGCAGGAAGAAGGTTCTAATGCTCGAGCAGGGGATAGGGATGATGGCAGGGGTGGGGCTGTCGCTGCTCATGAGGAAGGTGCCGTTGCTGTCAGTGCTCCTTGCAGGGATGACGGCGGTGGGGATGTGGGCGACCGATAGATGGTTGAGGAGAACATGAGGGAGATGGCGTGGGCTTACAAGCCAGCAAGGGAGGTGGAGATAGAGCGGCAGGAATCGGGGGGAATGGAAGAAAGAAACTATGTACATAGAAGGGGGGGTAGGGGAGGAATATCCGATTTATTGTTTGAGAGGGTTTTACATGTCAGAGAATAGATAAAAACATGATTTCGTAGATGAGTTTGAATTGTTGTGTTTTCCTTGTTCTTCATCTTGTTTCTTCATCATCTTCGATGATCCACAAGTTACATCATCCTTCAAGTATCGACTTGCTGGTCATCTTCGAGATGCTAGCATGCTCGTCAACTTCAAACCACCCAAGTTCTCTTAATCTCCCTTGCCGCCAACAATCCCAATTTTGCCCGTCCCTCTTCCTCCCTCCCTGCTTTCCCCCCCTGCCCACAACTTCCTTCACCTGCTCTGGTCGCGCGACAACTTTCCTTCTACGTTGAGGAATCTCTTCATCTTGAAAGGCGTGCGATCGTCGGGCATGACTTCAACGTACCTGCCGAGCATTTAGACAGCAGGGGAAACAGGGAGGGGGGAGGGGCTGCTGCGGAGCAGAGAATGGGAACGAGGGGAAGGGAAAGAGAAGGAGGGAGAGAAAGAACTCAAGGTGAAGATTAGGGGAGGGGATGTCACCTATGACCAAGAGAAGCTTTGGTGTGCTGTAAGAGAGCAAGTGAGATGAGGGCAGAAGCGAGAAGGTGGCTTCTTACCATGACAGGGATCTTCTTGCTCGCCATCCTACTCTGAGTCTCCTTCCTTTGCTGACTCTGAATGAAGTCTCGCATGTACCTTCAAACAGACATCAGAGCTCGCTTTGCTGTTCTCATTCTTACTGGTTGCTGATCAGCGCTCCCATCTCAGTCCCGTACACATTCTTCACCCCATACGCAAACTCCGGGTCACGGGAGGAGGGGAGAACGATCGCCTGGCAAGGTTGTGAGCGCCATGATGAGAGATGTAGGTCCATGCAGCGCACCTGCTGATGCTGCATGCTTCCTCCTCTCAGCCGCGCATCGTGTGTCCTCCGGAAGTCTGCCACCTGGAACAGGATGAGCTACCAGGTTGGGGCTCGGAGAGAATGAACCTGAGAGGGAGTAAGCCCAGAGCCCTTGATGATCGCCATTCTATTGAGTTTCTTGAAGTCTCGTCCTGGCTGCGTCGCCTCGTTGGGCCTGCCTGCCGTCAGCAAGAGTAGCATAAAACAAGCGCAAGCGCGCCCTTACGTGTGCTCCATCCACCCCCCGATGATGTTTCCTGCTCCCGCGGCGTCCAACATCATCTTGTACCCGTAGACATGCTCGGGGGGTGGCAGATTCATCGTTGATGGTTTCGGTTTTCCGACCTGCCCACCATAGCCAATGAGAGGGAGAATCAAACGAGCGACGAAGAGAAATGGGGGTGCAGTAGAAGGCATATAGGAACAGGTAGTCGGGCACAGCAAGTCACGAGACAGATCGCGACAGGAAGCATGCCTCTGCTGTGATAAGAAGTGGGTTCGGCGCTCTCTTCGTTGACGGCATCCTTGCTCGTTATCCGCTCTTCGCTCCACCTGGAGGCAGAGGAAGCATTCAATTCTTGCAGGGAAAGCTTCTTACACCCTCCCATCAAAACCATGTCATCCATATTCGGACGTCATATGCCTATCTACTGCCTCCCTTCTTGATTGATTTCTAATTTCCTCTTTCCATATGCCCTCAGTTCAATTCCTGTTTTGCTTTCGGCTTGTGCGATAGCTTGAAACGACAAGAATCATAATATTTCATGTCCATCTGTCCAAGGATCATTCAACACAAGTCTGGCTTTCACTCATTGTTCATTCTCAAATTTCTTCTCATTCGCCGTCCTTTCCCTCCTCTCCTCGATCGCATTCGTTCCATGCCGGCCAACCGAACCGACCGTTTCAACCTGTCGCACGGATCCAAGGGGTACTAAGTTGGTCTGATGTCGGGGTGGGGGTGGTCTTGTTCGTACCTCCAAGCTTGAAATGAGCGGGGATGAGGGAGCACTTCGAGTCCGGCTCACTGCTGAGTCACACTGATGATCGGACCGGGTCCGCCGGACCGGGACACTGCAGTGGGCCGCCCGGCGGCCCGGGGCGGCGGCTGCCGCCGCGGCCGCACTACTGGCTCGCACCTGCACTGTCTATGGCGGCTGGGCGGCTGGGCGGCCCGGCTGGGCGGCTGGGCGCCGCCCGGCCGGGCCCCGCCGTCACCGTGCACGTCACGAATCCGCGCTCCGATCGGACTGCTGTTGGCACTCACTCGGATGACAGTGACCGGGCGGCCGCCCGCCGCCCGCCGGATCCGACTGGGCCCGGACATCGGAAGACTCGTCCGAAGCGTTCAAGTTCGGCAGACCTGCCCTTCCGAGTCCCCCCCTTCCCCGACCGACCCGGGTCCGAATTGGGGCTGAGGGGTACTGCTCGGCGGCTGTAGCAGGCAATATAAGGGCTATAGTCAAGATTCGCGCGAGAGGCTGGTAGGTCCCGATTTGCTGGTTTTGTAGTCAATGGAGTATTTTCATAGTCAAATATTTGAGTAGTAGTCAATATGCCCATATACAATGCAAGTGTTAAAGTCAAAGAGTACAACGTTATTGTCAAAATGAAAAATCAAAATTGAAGGGTATTAGTCAAGGTTGATTGCTACTAGGAATCTCCATAGTCAATCTCAGTTCTAGCCGTTTTCAAACACAACGAGGGGTGGGGTGGGAACAGCAAACGGTGGAGGAGAATCCAGGGGGTACTTGTAATGGTAGAAACACAGAAATAGGGGTACTGAATGAGTATCTGGACGGGGTGGCTGGCAGCTTCCGAACAAAGGGGGAGGGTGGAGGTACAATTGTCGCGGAAAAAGGTGGGGTGGGGATGTATCAACTTTAGGCCCCCGGGGAGTACGATGGGGTGGGGTGGGGTGGTGTAGGAGAGGCACTGGAAAGGCGCGCCATGCAAGAGAGCTTGGTGAGGGAGTAGAGGTAGAGGAAGAGGAAGAAAGAGGGACATTGACGCTGAGCTGTGGATACTTTGATTTCCTGCCCTGTGATTCTCATAAGAAAACCTCCCCGAAGAGATGGTAAGCTTGGATTCCTTCACTTCTGTTTGAATTTTCGTGCCGTGATTTGAATTTGAGCAGATGAAGGATTTAGTGTTGTTGGTATGCATCGTCCTTGCCTCTGCAACTTTCGTACGTGCTGGTAACATCCTTTCTTCTTAACAGCTGTGTGAGTTCTTGACTGCTCTTCGGATGAAACGCAGGGTCAAGTGCACTTTTTTCTACTTCAATCGACTACAAGGTCAAGGATGCAAGGCTTCCAGGAAAAGACTCTGAAATCATCCTTGGATTTACCTCAAACCAAAAGATTCATACCAATGACCAGATTCTATGGAAAATTCCAGGATTCGGCGGCTTGCCAAAGTCTGGCCAAATCGATTCAGACTGGATGTTCGAATGGACTGTCGACGGACTGTTGACTCTGACTGCCCTCAAGAGCATCAATGCAGGTGATGAAGTTGCAGTCACGTTGAAATCATCATGGAGAATTTCCACACCTAAGAAGGGGATCGATCAAGCACTTGGAAAGCAATTCATGGTGTCTCTTCATTCAAAGCAAGAGCCTGTCCACTTGGCAGTGTTCCATCCAATCGAACACTGGCCGGGCATTGCCGTCTTGGGCTGTCACTCGGTGACAATCCATTCTTCTGATGGATTTTGTGCGGGCGAGTATCAAGTCAAGATGTGTGCACAGTCCCAAGATGAAGTTCGAGCATATGTACAAGGACAGAAATTCACTGAGGCTGCGAGATGTGAAGCCTCGCTTACTTCAAGCTGCAAGGCAATCGGAGCTGCTGATGCTGTTGGATATCCTTCTCTTCCTACAGCCACTGCTGTTGAGAAACAGATGCTTTGTTGTTCTGAATCGCCATCTACTGCATTTGTTGGCATTGACAACCTGGCGACTTGCAACATGGACAGTGAATGTTCTGCTGCTGATGCAACCATTCCAGGCTCAGGCATGCACGGGGCCAAGCTTCCCTCCAATCCTGTTGTGTCACGAGAAATGCCGATGTGCTGCAGCTACTGTGAAGAGTTCTATGGCACCATGGGGTGCTCGACACCTACTGGAAAGGTCCTTGGCAGCGAAAACAAGCAAGTCAAAGATTATTGCCGAAGCACTTTAGGATGTTCGAGTCAATTTCCATGCTACGGACGTTCTGTGAGATCCAAAGGAATGGAATTGAAAACATGCGCTGGGGACTGCGATCATCATTTGAACATGTCGATTGTGAATGGGCATGGGGTATGTTTTGCGCAGTTAGTGTCATAGTTGAATTGACTTTGATGCACAGATATATCTGAAGAAGAGGCATATTCCTTCAGACAACGAAGCAAGAAGAATGAAAGTAACCCGTCTGCACAAGCCTTCCATTCCAATTCCAAGTCAGGCTTTCGTTGCTTCTCCAGTGTTGAAGTTTCATCCAGCGGGCTTGAACTTCACAGGTGCAGTAACCCTCCAGATTGCTGTTGATATGGATGCGGATGCCAAATTCTCCAGCAGCGAGAAGTTGATGATACATAAGGCTGTTGGATCCACCTGGAAACCAGTTGCTGGGGCAAATGTCGTCATTGTCAAGCTTGGGAACGGCAAGCACAGAGCAGTGGTGACTTCACCCATCACGGGATTCTCTGAGTATACCGTCCTGCGATCGACAGCCATCACTGCGGGGCCCGTGAAGAAGGAAGCAACAAGCGCGGGGATGGAGGTGTACATTTGCATTCCTATTGCGGGCTTCCTCCTCCTGATGATCCTGGTGGTGGTCTTCTTGCCGGCGATCCATCGTGAGCCTCCTTACGTGCCTCCCCCCACGATCCCAAAACCTCAGCCGGTGGTGCAGAGACCGATGACTCCTCCTCCTCCACCGCAGCCTCAGCCGAAAGTGCCTCCTCCTCCAGCTTTGCCTCTTCCCAAACCACTGTATGAGCAAGCAGCAGAGCCAGTCAGGTTTCACCACGGCGCTCCCATCAAGCACTTCGGACCTGTCATCTGGAACTCTGAAGACATGGACTGGTGGACACAAGAGCAAGCGAAGCAAGAATATAAATTCCCGAAGATGCCAGCCTTCACTGACGAGTCTGGCTCCGACAACAGGAAATCTAACGGCAAGTGAGGAGGTTAATGCACGAGTGTTAGTGCTTCAGGTTAGTCAGTTTCCGAAGTTCTATACTTCTTGAGATACATATAATGCGATCAATCATCATGGCATCACTGCTTGTTCATTCAAGTTGCCACCGTCACGGTCAGGGGCTTGGCTCAAAATCCCTGAGTGCTGCAGGCTGATTGCCGCTTGGCTTCGATGGCACAGCGGCGTTTTCAAGCCACGGTCCCACTCCGACTGGCAGTTGCCAGTGACTCTGCTGCTGAGCTGAGCACCGTGCGTGTGACCGGGTAGTCAAATCCGATACTATGCGGCCAGATACACGACCGTCCGATCGTGACTACCGGCCGGATCATCCGATGATCGGCGAACCGCCGGGCCTGGACTCCGCCGGGGTGTGCGGCCTCGCGGCCAGCGGGCCGAGTCCGAGGCCGAGTCCGAGTAATTAAATGAACTGAGCCTCGGAGTCACAGTACGGTCACTGGCATGATTTGACGCGGCATCTCAAGGACCCCTCATGTTATCCTGATAGCTCAGGTAAATACCACCGGTGGATACCAGCCTCACATTTCCTCTCAGTTTCTTGATACCTTTAACCCCTTCTGTTCATATGACAATAGTAGGTGGGGGTACTGTACCCCTGGGGGTAGGACTCATGACCCCTTTTTACTGGGAAGGAAGCAGGGGTGAAAGAGGGACAATAGAACGAGGGGATCTGTTGTGTTGACCACACCCCCACCCTCGAATTATGTTTACACTACCCACCTTTTGAACACACATGGATTTGGAGGTCTGGACAACATTCCTCTAAGACGATAGAACTCTCTCCACCATTGCCATAATTGCGCCATCGCCAGCGCAAGTTCCTCCACTTGCTCCTCCTTCTGCCACCCCCCCTCCCCCCCCCCCACCGACCCTCGTAGATCTTGATAATTTTCCTCCTTTCTGCTATCCTATTCCTTTCAAAGTATCTTCCTTCCTGTGCTCTAACGTGCTGGCTCGTCACTGCCATCGCTGTTTCTCATTTAGCCCCTCCCTTTCTTTCTCGTCCGATCTTCCATATCTTCTCTCCTTTTCACTTATGTCATTTGCAATTCTGAATTTTCATACCACAACATTTCTGCGATGTCATGTCATTCCTTGAAGTGCTTCTTCCTCCGTCTTCAATTCCTCAATGTTTCATTCACTCCACGTGCTTATCCTTCCTACAAACCCTCCCTCCCCCCCCTCCCAAGGAAGCCCCTTGCTCCCCCTTCCTGATACTCATGGATCTTGATCCTCTGATCATATTCTTGATCTCGCCATTCTGCTATGTTTTGAGATGAGAGATATTTCGTCCTTGCCGACTTGCTCCTCTGCTTTTCCTCTTATGTCTTCTGGCCTGCTGCCAGCCTTTGCTCTTCCATCCTCATGGTCAACATGAGCAAATCAATCTTACACGCATGCCATCCCGTTGTCTTCTCGCTCGATGCCTTGTCCTATCACTCTCCTTCGCCTTCAACCTCTGAACATTGTGACATGTGCTGCCGGTTTGATCTCACACCTTGGTTTGGTGCAGCTCCAGGAAAGTGAAGGCTTGCATGGCCAGGTGACGGCATTGAACTCTTTGTGATAGAAATTTTCATCATGGAGGTGAGACGAGGGTTGGATGGACGTGAATGATGTTGTTTGTAGCCCCTTGTGTCTCTCCGCTCTTGATCGAGCTCACTGGGCCAGTAATCGAGTACAAGCGATCGAGCCAGACGATGACGTGCCCATTCCCTTGAGAGCTCACTGCTGAACCGACAAATTCTTGGAGCTTCAACATGGTGGACGCGATTGCACGTGAGGAGAAACGGACGATCAGGTCAGTGAACGGGAGAACAATCGACGAGTTTCATGTCTTGGTAATCCTCGTTGCAAAGTTCGGATCCGGTGCAGCTGCTGAATGATTCCCAGGGAAAGTTAACGAGGGCACATTTGGTGTTGTATATAAAGCAATTCGTATGAGTGAGAAGGTAAAGATCAAGGTAATGGTTAAGAGACTGACGCCCGTTCAACAGCCCGACTATGAGAAATACAAGCACAGCTACGTAGATATGAACAAGATAACCTTCATGGCTATCAAGAAGCCGAAGAACAACGCTCGTGAAGGGGAGGGATTCAACAAGGATGCTGTGCGAGAGATTGCGCTGCTCAACGAGCTAAAGCGGGGAAGAGGGCACGAGAACATTGTGACATTACGGGAGGTGATCCTGTGCCCGGACGGCACCAAGGACTCGAAGGGGTTGTACCTCGTCTTCGATTGGGCAGAGTTCGAGCTCTCTGAGATCCTGGTGTGTGGATAGGATCGAGTATGTGAAGTCCTGATGGCTGATGGTTGTGGCTGCAGAAATCACATAGAGAGCGGCAGCGAATGCCTTTGTGCGAGAAGGTGATAGTCACTGACTTGCTTTTGGGCGGTTGACGTTCAAGGTCAGGGAGTGAAGTCTATCATGTGGCAACTACTCAACGGCATCTCCTACATCCATGAGAACTGGATCATACACCGAGGTCTCAACCTCGATCCTCTGCTTGATTCCTTGGATGATCCTCTCGTCAACAAGTTTGACGCTGTGTTGTTCTGCTAGATCTGAAACCAGCAAACATCTTGATCATGGGCAGGGGCCGCAGTGTGGGAGAGTGAAGATCGCGGTGAAATCTCTCAGTTCTCTTCTGCAAATGTCGCTGATTGCCGCCATGACTTCAGGACTTCGGTATGGCAAGAGTGTTCC